ATGATCATCCACTTCATGATCTCTATTCTAATTCAATCTCAGTTTTGCTAAGCAGAAAATTAAATAAACTTTAAACTTCAAAAATAATTATTGATCCATCTGTTCTTCAAAATTGTCTTTGAAGTGGTAAAGTCAAGCACATTTAAACCTCCATCACCAACTGAATTAGTTAAGGTACTTTTTTATGTAACGAGACTTATTTCTCCAAATAAAATTGAAAAGTTGTGTTTGCGCCAGTTATTCATTGCCAGATACTTCTCTTGAGCCACAGTCGGTCAATTCTGAAATACAAGCTTGGACCCAAACTAAAGAGATTGATTAAGAAATTGTACAAAAGAAAAAAATTTAATGAGGCAGAATAAAAATGTTAGAAATGTACAATTTATGTGTATAATTATTAAACAGCTCTGTTTTGTGTCAGGGTTTATTTATTTAGTGATAATGATTGCGTACATGATCTCTTACTTATTTTCTCTCTATATTTAGCAAAAAAATTGGTTTAAAATCTATTTGTTTTATTTTTCCTCCAGTGCAGATTTGGTACCTATATATTCGTTTGGAGAGAATGAGGTGTTTGACCAGTTGGAGAACCCTCATGGCACCTGGCTGCGATATATTCAAGAGCGTCTGCAAAGCATTATGGGCATTTCTCTGCCTCTCTTCCATGCACGAGGAGTTTTCCAGTACAGCTTCGGCCTAATGCCATACAGAAAACCCATCAACACTGTTGGTAAGCGCAATCAAATATTAGACAAATATCATCATTGTCAGGTCAAGGTTAAGAGTAAATTAAAGCCATATTCTGAATCTGTGCCAATGCAATAACCTCAGATGCAATAACCTCTCTCTCTTTTCTTAGCCTTTTATTTGTTGTACTGTACCAGTGCACAAATCTTATCTATTACCACTTTTAGCCTACTGTAAACAGGTCCAAATCATTGCAAAACTTTGATAGTACAAGCATGGTATTTGCTGAAATGTCAGACATAGTCATGTCAGCAAACGTGAGGTGAATCGGTTGCTGGGCCTCACAGATCTATCGATCATCTATCTGTCTGTCTGTCTAGCTATCTAGCTAGCCATCTGTCCGTCTGTCAATTCATGCATTCCATGCATTCAGTCATTTTACCTTTGTGTTTTCAGTTATGAAGGTAATATTTTAACTGTCCTTTCTATCTTCTTCAAGTGGGTAGGCCGATTCCAGTAGAGAAAAACAAGAAACCAACAGCAGAAGAACTGGACGTGTTTCACCAGCGCTATATGGATGAACTCACACACCTGTTTGAGGAACACAAAGGAAATTATGGTGTACCTGAAGACTCTCACCTGCTGTTCCAGTGAGAGGATCACTGAAGCGACTCTGAGATTGTGTATGTATGTGTTTATGAGAGAGAGACAGAAAGAGAGTTATGTATGTCTAGTTTAGTCTCAGTTGTATATTGTCAGCTTTTAAACCATTGCTGTTTTTGTTGTCAACCAGTAATATAATATTACATAATAAAAATAGAATTTTAATTTCCTGATAAATGCAATGTGTAATTTACAGCAGTTGATGTTTACACATGTTCCAAAAATTGTAATCATGTAAATTAAATTTTCTTCATTGTTTTAACTTCTAAATTAATTGGTTTTACTCATGTCAGAAATATAATGTAATATGGCAAATGGAACAAAAGTAATAACTTTTACTGTGTAAAATAACTTTATAACTAATAACCTTTACAGTTCTACTCTATATGCTTTAAAGCAGCATGTCTGAATAAATCCACACCAGTTTTACTACTCTGTCTGTTTGAATGATTCGGGACACAGAGCCGCTTAAGTTTCTCCACTGACTCCCAAAAGACGCATCTCTCAGGATGATTGCAGTGTATAAAGGTCACTGGACATTACAACATGTAGTAAGACAAATTTAAGAAGGAACTTATTCATCTGATGGTGTAAAACATGAAAGTCTTGACATCAGACAGATAAACAGATTGACAAATGCATCAATTTAAAAAAAATTATTTAAGTGCTTTTGCATTAGCTCGGTAAGCTTTTGTCCCGAGGAATTTTCTGTATGCTCACAAAAGTATTGCATTCCCAGAGAAACTTTGTGTTAGCTCACAAAACATTTGTAAATAAAATCAGGTGTGAGGAAAACCTATCACTGGTTTTGTAAGCCAACCCAAAGTTTTTGAGAAAATATTTACTAAAAAAATTAAACTTTTCCTCCAATCCTTTTTTTTTTTGTTTACCATTTTTTCCATCGCATCTGTGGTGTAATAACTAACCCTGTTGCTCTTTAAAAAAAGCATTGGTCAGGGACACAGTGCATGATAGTTACTGTACCTGGAATCTTTGTGCTAATCTTTGTGTGCATCTTGATATGTGTGTACTGTATGTGGGGTAGGGGACATGTGTGCATGCTTTGCGGCAGGGCATGGAGGTGTGTATGTCTATAAACATGTGTAGGTATGTTTTAAGAAACTAGTGTACTTTGATCCTATTATGATCCTAATTTTGGTTTTCAAGAAAAACAGTTGTGTAACATCAGATTTGGCCTATCAGAGATATAATGTAGTCTGCATAACATGAGTCTCCCATATCACATATATGATATATAAGTGATAATTTATATATATTTTAAATAATTATCTTTTATTTAAAAGCATCTGGTTATGCATCTGGTTTCTTGGGTGCTTTTTGACCCAGAGGAACATAGATAATTTGTATGGAGGATGTATTTACACCACATCTCCAGCCCGATATCAAATTATTCTATTATTATTATTATTATTAAATCCAATTCTATTATAATTTTTTTCCATTCTAACAATTTTAATATAGTATGAAATGTCTCTCTTATCTTGATCTGAAAATCTGATATTATCATTAATTGTTCTTTTTTTTAGAACAAAAGAGCAAAGCACAAGTAGACCTGATGCTTAGAACATTTTTTATCATTTCAACAGCTCCTTATCTGCACCAGTGGGCAAAAACATGGACAAAACTACACACTTGTAAGAATACTGTTCTGTTTTGTCCACTTCTGCCACATGGACATCACCTTGACATAATCACCACTGATAAGCTACCCCTAAATGTAATGCAGAAACTTTCATTTTCTGTGAAGCTGCTTTGCAATGATTTATATGGTGAAAAGCGGTATATACAAATAAACTTGAATTGAATTGAAAAACAATCTATCATAAAGAAGCTGCAAAAACATTATCTGTTTGACCATCCGATAATATAAGACATATAAGTATATCAGTGTACATCAATTAATGCCAACAAATGTTCTAATCCAGATTAAAGTTCAAAGACCAACTAAATGATCTCTGCTAAATGGACCTTTGATATTGATACAGTACAAATTACAGTTAGCTTGTGTAATTTACCGTCTAGACCGAATATATTTCCTCATCAAAATTGAACTGTCTTATTATCAGTTTTTACCTATTGTGACATCAGATATCAAAAAGTAAATAGTTAAACATCATAAAATATTATTCATATTTCATAAACTTTAATATTGCAAAAAAAAAGAAAGAAAAAAAGTCCCTTATGGACATTCAGTCTGGCAGGCTGCTATCTCTCACTAATTTCACTTTTTCACTCTTTAGTTTCTCAATTCTGAGGCCTATTGAAGTTTTGTATAATTACAAAGTGTTATTTCAGTCTTGGTGTAAATTAAAAATTCAAGTTGAAACACATGAGAAAAAAGGAGCAATTAATGATTGTTTTTTATAAAGAGTCATGCATGTACTGGTCATCGGGAGCACCGGGACATCTCACGGCAATTTGTACGTATTTGACAAGGTGGCTAATTCGTATGAATTTGAAGTCTCTTGATCCATTCAGATGCGACACAGAATTGTGTTATACAGTCGTGTGATATGAGAACATTAAAGGTTCTGTAGGGATGCTGGCTGACAACAGCCACGACAATGTAAACTGCATGACGAGGTAAAAAACATAATTACAAGCTTGTAAATTCAGAACCATAGTATTTAACATGCAGTTATTAACACTTTACAAATAGCCTGTGGTGTTTTGGCAGAAATGTTTTTTATTATAAACGTTACTCTCATTACTAATATTGGGGAATATTTTACTTTTATAGTTGTTTTTGTAGTTTCTACATGTTTCGTTTTTTAAAATGACGAATTCCATAGTTTATTATTACTTATAAAAACCATATAACCATGGTAATGAGGACCATGGTTTGTGACCACCAACTTACTATTACTAGTCAGCTAAACTCTTAATTTGAATTGAAGTAAAATGTTAATTAAGTAAGAGCCTGATTAAAGATAAATAGTGTCTTAAATTAGGTGTTAACTGTTTAAAAATGTTCTTAAAGGGATAGTTCACCCAAAAATTCAACTTGTCATCATTTCCTCACCATAATGTCATTCCAAACCTATATGAATTTCTTTCTTCTGTGGAACATAAAAGAAGATCATTTGAAAAATTCAAGAATGTTTTGTCCATGCGGTAGAAATCAAGGGTAACCAAAATGGTTTGGTAAAATTTTACAAAATATCTTCTTTTGTGTTCCACAAGTCATACATGTTTGGAATGACATGAGGGTGAGGACGTTATGACAGAATTTAATAGCAGTGCATTTTCTGCATTCCAGCTCAAAATCAATGCTTTACTGTCAAGTGCATTTCTATGTGACAAAAATACATTAGTTTGTTGCATTTGTTGTGAATTCAGTAATATCTATCATTATATGTTTCTGTCCTGTTTTATTTATTCATTTATTTACTCCAATTTAAGGCCCTATAACCCAGCAAAACACTCACAGGGGAGCTCATGTGCCGGATGGGCTGGATTTGTACAGGGCCGAATTCGAACCCCAATCCAGTCCTGTAAAGTGTAGACATGGACAATCAGTGTTGGGCAATAAAGCATGAGGGCGGGGCTAAAGTCTCCTCCACCTGATTGGCTGGGCACCCATTCACGTCTAGTTTACCTTCACAGACCTTTTAAAGCCTCTAGGTCAGATGAAGCTATAACCAAACATCTCGGCACGGAGGCTTTAAAGTTTGAAGAAATTCATCAGACAGGAACGGGTTTTTGCAATTAAAAATTTGACAACTTTTCGTATTGAAATATCGCTGACAGCGAAGGCGGTTATAGTTTGATTGTCAGCGCTTTGTATGCCCCTCCCCCTGAGGCGCTTAAATGACAGGCGCGCGCCTGTGAGCTCGCGGCTGACGCCAGCACAGAGAGAGATGCTGTAGACCAGCGCAACTTCCACCAGCGAGATTTATTCTGTTAAATGTATTATTCGTGCCTCAACCATGAAGACCATACTCGCTGCGTATTCCGGAGTGAAAAAGGGTAAGCTAAATATTTTGTGAAATAATTTCATTTTAATTTAATTTAGTGTTATCATTTAACACAATTTAATAAATGATTGTTCTGTATATACATGTTTTATGTGTATGTTTTAGATATATATTATATGTATGTAAACACACACACACACACACACACACATATATATATATATACATACTGGATAACAGGACGTCCTACTACCTAGGATGTGATCATAGTTAAGTTAGACACTTAAGTGAGATTCATTTAGTCTCCATCTTGTTCCAATCATCGAGAGGGAATGAGAAGTGTTACATGAGCATCAGTGTCTTACTTTGTGTCTGATGTTTGTTGTTATTTTCAGTCAGGATGGACTGTTCAGTTAAAATGGGATTATGTTGTCTTGTGATCTGATCTCAGTGATTGTAAGAGAAGTGTTATGTATGTGTGCTTCAGTACTGCATCTAATCTTTTTTGCACTGTGTAAAATTGGCTTGAGTTTTGTGAATAATGAATTAGAAGAAGTATCACAGTGTTGGTTGTGTGCTGTCATTCTTTTGCCACTCATATTGTCACTCATGCAATAGCAAAGAGTCATTACACTCTTAAAAATAAAGGTGCTTCACGATGCCATAGAAGAACCTTTTTGTCTAAATGGTTCCATAAAGAACCTTTAACATCTGAAGAACCTTTCTGTTTCACAAAAGGTTCTTTGTGGCGAAAGAAGGTTCTTTAGATTATAAAAAGGTAAGAAAGAGATGGTTCTTTAAAGAACCTTTGACTGAATGCTTCTTTGTGGAACCAAAAATGGTTCTTTTATGGCATCGCTTGAAGAACCTTTTGAAGCACCTTTATTTTTAAGAGTGTAGTTGGTTATTTCATACATCTTCAGAGAGTTTTTTTCTGAGATTTTAGGAATTATTTGGCATTAGATAACATTTTATGCACAAAAAACAACCTGAATGACACCATTCTCAATGGACATCATCCCAGTTCGTCACAGTCATGATATGCATGTCAGCATTTACTCCTAGGCTACAGACAGACCTTGATGTAGAGAACAAGCGTTCCCACAACATTAAGATGGTTAATTCCAATTCTCCTTTAAATCCCATATAGGCTCAGGCTCTAGCATCCTCTCGGCCTTACACGACCTGCCCTCCGTCCCCTGGCTGACACGATCCAAGATCATGAAATATCTGCAGGTGATCTCTGTCCTGCAGTTTGTCATCACATTTCTTGTCATGGGTGAGTGGAAGAGTTAAATTCATTACGAGACTTAAGTCGGCGACTGAGAGAATTTACAATGTAGTACTTGTGTTGCCTTAATGAACTCAAATGAATTAATTTCAGTGTTTATGAATGTTAAAAAAATAGTTCTCCCAAAAAATAAATAAATAAAATAAAATAGGATTAAAAATGTGTTGAAAAATTTGCAGCTCACTCACCCTTCATCTTGGTCATCCAAGATGTAGTTGAGTTTATTTATTCATAGGAACAGATTTGCAGAAATTTAACATTACGTATCCTCTGCAGTGAATGGGTGCAGTTAGAATGAGAGTTCAGACAACTGATAAAAACATCACAATAATCAAGTAATCCAGTCCATCAATTAATGGTTTGTGAAGTGAAAAGATGTGTGTTTGTAAGAAACAAATCCATCACTGAGGACTTCAAAATGTAGCTAAAATATGAGTCCTCTATCCATAATATTGCTCCAGTGGAACAGCAAAACCAAAACCATTCTAAACAAATATGTTGGTGAATTTTGATATGAGAGGACAACTGAGGATGGTCTTTTTCACTGGAAGTAGTAGATTATTATGGATTATGGGGTATTTTGGCGAGAAGTGATGGTTTAAAGTTAAAATGGCTTGAAGGTTTTTTTTTCTTACAAACACACAGCTTTCGCTTTACAAGATGTTAATTGATGGACTGGAGTCGTGTGGATTACTTGTGGAATATTGTGATGTATTTATCAGCTGTTTGGACTCTCATTCTGACGGCACCCATTCACTGCAGAGGATCCATTGATGAGCAAGTGATGTAATGCTACATTTTTACAAATCTGTTCTGATGAAGAAACAAAATCTACATGTTGGATGACCTGAGGTTTAGTAAATTTTCAACAAATTTGCATTTTTGGGTGAACTATTCCTTTAAAATCTCAGCTCTCTATATTTTCAGCTTGCTTTATAGATTTACGTCCACTCTAAATACTCTTTTTGCTCTTCTAGGCATTGGCTGCTTGTTGCTGCTGATGTACATGTTTTGCACAGACTGCTGGGTAATTGCCGCCATTTACACCGCCTGGCTGATCTATGACTGGAACACCCCTAAACAAGGTAACCTTTTCATTCTTTTTGCTGATTAAAGCACACCATTCATGATTCAATCTCTTCAGAAGTGTAGGATTCTTGTTGTGACTGTGTTTGCATTTGTATTCTTTGTTAATGTTCCAATATCTTAGGAGGCCGCAGATCGACCTGGGTGAGAAACTGGACTGTGTGGAAATACTTTAGAGACTATTTTCCCATAAGAGTGAGTGATTTTACGTCTTATACAACGTCACAGTTTAAGGAAATAAAAATAAAGGCTTAACCACTGAACAGCTAATAGTTACATAAATAAAGATTATCCTCAAAGTAGAATTAGGAAATATATGGACTTTGCAAATGTCAAAGTACAAATCCTCCAGCATTTATATATAGATTTAAAGGGGACAGTTCATAAAAAAAAGATTCCATCATTATTTACTCGCATCTAATACTCACATATTCTTTTCCACACAATGTCGTGACATTTTACTTTGCATATACATTGTTGTTCAAAATGTTTTTTTTGAAAAATGCTCACCCAAATTACATTTATAAACAGTGATATTGTGAAATATTATTACAAATTAAAGTAACTGCTTTCTTTTTGAATTGATTTTTAAAATTTATTCCTGTGATGGCATAGCGGATTTTTCAGCAGTTATTATTCCAGGATTCAAGAAACATTACTTACAATTATTAAGGTGAAATTGTTCTGCTTAATAGTTTTTGTGGTAACTGTGATAATTTTTGTTTTAGGATTCTTAAATAGAAAGTTCAAAGGAATACAATACATTTTTTGTAATAATGTGAAAGTCTTTACTGTCACGTTTGAACAATTTAATGCATCAGTTCTGAATAAAAGCATCCACTTGTTTAAGAAAAATTTTACTGACCCCAAACTTTTGAATGGTAGTTTTTATATTCTAGCCAGCGTAAAATGTGTAAATATGCATTGATAACTCTGTTAAGTGCAAAGGGGAAAAGATAAAAAATACATTTTATCAGCCATTAGTTTCGTCCTGTTCTTTTCTCTGCTTGACATTCCTGATGGGTTGGTTGGATCTTGATGTGAGTTGTAAGTGCACTGCTAGACTTTGCTCATCCTGATCAGTAGAAACTTAATCACTGAGCACTTGTTTTTCTGTTTGTCTTGTGTCTTATTTATATGCGTGGCAGAGTACAGGCCTCTGTACAACAACTAGGTGATACAGAAACTTTACTAGCACTAAATTATGAGCCAGACACATTATTATCATGCACAGATTAGCATGAAACAAATATCTGCACGATGAAAGAGAATAAAAGTAAACTGTTAACTCACTGACACACTTCTATACAATATACAGTAAATCCTTAGTAAATACTGGTCTAAGAAAAAGTTATTTAATGCAAATGTTAATTTAAAGTATTCATATTCAATCAAAACCACAGTCAACACTTAATATAAAAAATATACAGTATATGTGTGAGTCAGTCAGGACTCAAAGAAAGGCCCTTGTGTGTGCCAGTTGGCTTGGACGTTTACCTTGCAGAACACGTAGTGTGTTTGGTCACATGATGAAATCATCACTTCTCCTAGTGTTACAGTGCGTGCCAGCTGCGATCTTGATGATCAAATCAGACCTATTTCAAACAAATTTGTGGAGAAAATGGGTTCAAATAAGAACTAGATACACCTATAACTAGATATTTTATTATAAAAATATTATAGATAAAAAACTTTATCTATAATGTGTGCTTTTGACTTGGACCAATAAGCATACACCTGGCAACCACCCATTATTCCCTAGTAATCACAAAGCAATCACGTCTGAATCGGGAGAGAAATCTTCACAGATCAAGCACTGTTTATGAGCGAAAACAGTCCGAAACCATTCTAAACAAATATGTGGATTTTGATGTGAGATGACAACAAAGGATGGACTTTTTCACTGGAAGTAGCAGTTTATTATGGATTATGGGGTATTTTGGTGAGAAGTGACGTTTACCTTGCAGAACACGTGTGTTTAGTCACATGATGAAATCATGAGTCTTGCTCTCAAAAACAAGGGCACCGGTAAACATTCCATAGACTAGACTTTCTCTAAGCCTCCTCCAGACAGTTATACCATCCCATCTGACAAAGCATCTGTCTTAAAACCTTTGTTTTTTCATCCACTCATGTCATTATGCAATACTGCCTGTTTGATTAGCTGTTCTTACGTACACAGGCTATATGCAGCTTTTACACTCTGTACATACTCTTCCTTGTAAGATTGCATTCATGCATTCAACTGTTGCTCCATTCTAATATCTTCTGCAAGTCTGTCCTTAATTATCTGCTGAAAAGAATATATATTAGGACAGCAGATTAGTGCTTAATGATAATTCTTGATAAGAAATTGCGTTCGTGAACAATATAATGTACATACAGGTTTATTGTAACTGTGTCTGAGTTAAGAGCATTTATTGCCTTAAGATAAAGTGTGATAATGTCCTAAATCTAGGAAAATAGGTCTGCTTAATGCTAAATATATATTCAACAGCTGTTAAAATGAAGTTTAATCAGTTAATTTAATCATTTACCACTGCGATTTTTAGCATCACATCCTGTCTGTATATTCATACAAAAACCATTGCAAATGTAATTTTGTCATTGCAGTTGAATTAATAATTTTTCTTTTTAATTTTTCTTTGATTATTTGCAGCTCATTAAGACACATAACCTGCTTCCCAGCCGAAACTACATTTTTGGCTATCACCCTCACGGCATCTTTTGTTTTGGTGCTTTTTGTAACTTTGGGACTGAGGCCACAGGATTCTCCAAGATATTCCCTGGAATCAAGCCGTCTCTTGCCACATTGGCTGGAAACTTCCGCTTGCCATTGTTTAGGGATTACCTGATGTCTGGAGGTACATATAACTGCATATTAGTTTCATTTTGTGGATTAAAGCTTTCATGTATTCATTGCCTGCAGTTGCATCATGTGACACTGAGTGAAGATCAAACTGACTCAATGCATGAAGTTCAGTTTTGGCTGATTAAAAAGAGGACCATACTTGTCCTCTCTGTGCTTTAGATAAGAATCCTGTAGTCTATCAAGGACCTCTGAGCTTTGTCCTATTGCGTAGAGAAGCACAGCCCTGCATGTGCTGATGTCAATATTTTTTGAAGAACTTCTGTTGAAACCTGCCCTATGTACCCGCAGATTGATAGAATTTTCTTCCACTCTCTTATAAGAAACAAACGTTAATGGTTTCTTAAAAAATGTCAAACAAATGTTTCCTCAAAAATTCATATAATATAATATAATATAATATTGACATTAAATGTAAATGTAAATTCAATAAATTCTATTAAATTCAGTCAAGTCGGACTTCATGGTATTTAAAACAGTGGTTATACAAATGGTAATCAATCCGCAAAAAAAAAAAAAAATGTATAAATGAACCTGGTTACTATACTTCTACTAGGCTATAATATAACCATTTTTGTAAAGGAATAATAAATAAAGAATGACAGTCGTAGTTGTAGACCATGGATTTAAAAATGTTTGTCAGTCGAACAACAGTTTTTTGACCTAAATATTTTGACCTAAACATATTTAACCTACTTGAAGTACCCGCTGAGATTTTAAGTTATTATTTCAATAAGTTAACAACACACTTGCATTTTTATGGTTCTCTGATGTTGATTAATTGTCATATTAAACAAATACAGGTAAACAAATAAAATATTTCATTTTTATTAAGTGTTTTGTTTTATTAATTGTTTTTATTTGAACGTTTTTATTTAGGCTAATTAAATTTGACATTTCTGTGATTTGTTTATTAGCTTTTCATCAACTCAAGAACGTCCTGCAGTTCCTTCATAAACCCCAGTTTGGGAAACCCTGGTATAAACTTGACCAAAGACTCTATTCCCTTCTGTTTCTCAGGTATCTGCCCAGTAAACAGAAACTCCATGGACTTCCTCCTGTCTAGTAACGGTACAGGCAACGCTGTGGTCATTGTGATCGGAGGGGCTGCAGAATCTCTGGACTGTGCCCCAGGAATGAACTCCGTCACGCTGAAAAAACGCAAAGGCTTTGTGAAACTGGCCCTCAAGCAAGGGTGAGAACTACAAATCATTTCCCTCACCACCTTCCCAGCACTGTTTACTTCAGCACTACTGGCTTACTCCACAAACACAAGTCAATAAAGTTCTTTGTGCCGTCTAGGTTTATGTTGGTAGTAGTAGCATGAGTTTTTTTGTTTCAGGTGAAGCAACACAAAGCCTTTAGAAGTAAGCCCATGTTGGGTTAGCAAAGCAGTTTGGAGTGAAGTAGCCTATTAAGCCAGCTTTTTGTGATCAGAAATGCAGAGAAACAACATGAAATCTGCCAACATATTTGCTCTGAATTGAGCTACATCATCACAAAGCAATAGTAATACTGCAATCCTCAACTATTCAAATCTCAGAAGCTTATAGAATAAATAAGCACTTTTAGACAAGTTCTTAAAGGGGTCCTATCATGCTTTTTCACTTTTTCAACTTTAGTTAGTCTGTAATGTTGCTGTTTGAGCATAAAAAAGATCTGCAAAGTTACAAAGCTCAAAGTCCAATTCAAAAGGAGATATTTTATTTAACAGAAATCACTTTTCAAAAACTACAACGAATGACTCGTTTGGATTACATCTCACAAATATCGACCAATGGGACGAGACCTGGTTGAGCTGCACTAGAGAAGGCAAAGAGTGTTATCACTACAGTATGTCGGAGACACGCTAGCTTTCCCAAGACAGATGAACTTAGAGAGGTCACAGTCATCCGGGTTTAAATTGCACTCAAATTGATTTGATATTGACACAATATTTACACTGAAGAAATTGATTTGATATTGACACAATATTTACACTGAAGCTGGCAGGCGGCTATGGTAAGGGTCATGACATTTCCCAACCAGGCGTCGAGTGCTGCCAATCACAACACACACTGGCCCAGCTAACCAATCACAGCACATTTCGTATTTCAGAAGGCGGGCCTTCATTTGATACAGGAACTATTCGAGCCGTTCATGCCAGACTGGGGAGAGAGGTGTTGTAATGTAAAATATGTGAAAAATAATGTGTTTTTCGAACAACCTAGTATGAGAGCATGTTCTAGTACACCCCCAAAACAAAATCAAGACTTTATAAAAGAGCATAATAGGACCCCTTTAAAGTGCAAATTCTTCTATATCTCACAGGATTTAAGACACAATTACACTGAAACAGTTATGTAAAATTAACCATTGCAGATTCTCTTTGTGCTTTAAAATGTATCTTTCTTTGGTGTCTTTCTTTGTCATTCTTATAACCTGTTCTTGTTCCCCTTTCAGTGCTGATCTGGTGCCTGTCTACTCATTTGGTGAGAATGAGGTTTACAAACAGGTGATTTTTGACGATTGCTCTTGGTGGCGTACGGTTCAAAAGAGACTTCAGAAGATTTTAGGTTTTGCCCCCTGCCTGTTTCATGGCTGGTACCGTAGAAGGATGAACTCCACCGCCGGTCGGGATCTCGTAGTGTCCGCTGGAGCTGTCAGCAGTAACCCCGGAGCAGCATCATCCAGAGTCCTGCATGTGGAGCTCACATCACAACAGGTACACCTGCAGCATCCAGCCATATGTGCCCGCATATACAGTGTGTGAATGTTTAGCGGATCTGCTTGTGCATGTGTCACATGTCACCGGATGATCACAACACTGGGCCTCCATATCCAGTTAAGCTCTGGTCAGCATTTATGAATGCAGTGGAGTAAGAAATAGAAATAGAAATATGAGAAGCATTAAATAAGACGTTAATGTTAAAGAGCTGTCATGTTCATTAAATATACTAGACCGGTTATACAGTGTAGTGTCTGGCTGTCTTGTCACGGTGGATCTTCAAACTCCAACACAAATACAAAATAAACCCGACAGAATCCTAATATTTATTATTATTCATGCTTCAAAGATTTTGAAACTGGCTAGGAAGGTAGTGGTGGTGCTGTGCTTATCTCAATTGCACTGCAGCGTTTTGACAGCACTGACATAAATGACTATAAATGATGTCCTGCTTTAAGGTTGGCACACATTGTTTTGGGGGTCTAGTCTACAGAAAGACCCTAGTTATGAATGCTTGGTTCACTTGGTTTCTTTTTAGAGTTTAGTAGTTGACATTAAATGGTTTATCAGCCAGAATAAAAGTATTATTGTGTTTATATTATTTTTGTTTATTTTTTTTAATTTCTATTAATACATATTTCAGGCAGTACAGCCATATTTTGTGTTGTTGATGTAATGCTTGATATTTCCATTAGAGAGTAGCTGTGATTGTGTGTGTTGTAACAATTGCAGTGTTGCGAAACCCACAGCACTCATACATGCTCTGAATCTGAGTGTAGACTTCAGTTATGTGGAATGATAGTCATGTCCTGCAGAAATCGTCTGTTTAATCACATTGCTGGTTCCCGGGAAGTGTTTTGGGGATCACAGGTTTTCCTGTTAAGCAGTGTGTGTTGATGACTTGGCATTCTGTGAGGGGAATTGTTGCATTACTCAATGCTGCAAACATTATTGTGTCATGGCTTTAAGCAAAGAGTGGTTTCTTGCCAGAAGAACCAAACCAGATGTTTTTTTTTGTGCTATATATATTATAATATAATGCAATATTAAATATTTACATTTAGGTTTATTTTTCTTTTAAAGGGTTTCATGTAGGGCTGTATGATTAATTGAAATATAATTGCGATATGGCTTAATATGATTATCAAATGCAACATGCACCAACCATCTAACCAATCTTGCAATGAAAAGTATGTATAAACCGGCTGTTGTCAACAAAAGAGAACCTTTAGGGGCTCCCTGCATTATTATTATTATTTTTTTAATCTTGATGGTTTCAAAAAAATGGAAACATTCATAAATATTTGTATTGCAATTTTACAGTTGTACTGTACAATAGAATAATATCAATTATTATTGTTTTACCTTAAATGCTCATTTTTTACTTCACAGTGAGATATTACAAATATTGTAATATTTGTAACATATTATAATAGACCATAACATTGTGAACAAGACATATTTCTTTTTTTACATTGTAATTTAGTAGTAGTATTAATAATTTTATATTAATAATTGTTTAGTAGTAGTAATAATAATTGTTTCATAGTCATATTGATATATAATCTGAAAACTTTTTGTAGCGCTACAAACAAGCATTGCATTTGTTGCAAGCATTTAGAAAAAAAATCACATTTGAAATTTCAAATTTTTATCAGGGAAATTTTACAGACTACAACCTTTTCACCAATGATAGCCATCTCCTGTTCGGTTAAAAACAGAAAGCACGGTTACCAAAAACTGAAATGTGAAACCAAATGTGAAGTCCCTATCACATGACAGTGGCTCGTCAGAGCTTGTCGCACCTGTCTGAATTGTATTTTACGGGAAACGTATGGGGAAAGTTTATTTTTGTTATGACACCAATTGCTTTGTGAGTCACACCAGTCACTTGTGACTCTCTTACTGCTTGAGGCAAAGTCCTAAAGGACCACTGTTATGGACTACAGATGACCTCTGTCACACCCTTGAACGCTGTTCTTTTGTTGTGCAGCAGAATGGCATTGCTATTTATTCACTGTGATGCAATTCATCAACTTCAGCATTAAGTCTAGCTTGATTTGGTGTTTCTGTTTCATTAAGCTGTTTGAAACAGCTGTGAACCGCCTAATAAGGGAAAGTTGATCGTACACTAGTTTGTTCCTGTGCTAGTTAAGTAGCCTGTTAACCTAGTAAATTGTACCACTGAAATTCTGCATTTCAGAATCTGGGACAAACTGACCCTGGATGTTCCTCAGTTTTTTGTTGTCTGAAACAAGACAGAAATGGGGGAAAACTGAACAAAGTGTGGTGTTGTTCCTGTAGCTTCAATAATCCTGTGGGGCATCCCATGACTTAGATTTAGTATGTAATGCCTCACGGCTGGTGCTGGAAATTCTCCGTGGCTGGTTGTGATGAAAGCCGGTCAGGTGAAAACTTTAGTGTGCTGAGCTCTCAGATAATGGCTGTGGCCCTGTGCTTTAAATCCGGCCCTTGTGAATGGTAACTCTGGAGTTTCTCTCCATCTCATGCTCTGTAGATTAGGATCATGAGATCAACTTTATCTTTTATGTGTGAGGGGGAAAAGTGTATATAATTGTAATTATTTGTGAAACTAATGGTTTTTGATCAATATTTACAATGAAATTGTAACTTTTATTTAATTTAATTACATTTTATTATTATTATTATTCTTTTTACACACACTCCAGTTGGAAAACCCATGCTTTAGACAGTTTCAACAGTAAGGAGTGATTTATGCAGAATGCATCCTTGAAGTCAGTCTAACCAGTTTTTAATTTCTTTTATATGTAAACATTCTGGCTGTGTAATTATTTGAGTGTTTGGGACTCATCATGTTTTTTTTCAGTGTCCTGTGCCATTAGCAGCTAGTTTTTAAGACGCAGAGTCAAGTTGAAGTTTTAAAAACACATCTTGAGACCCCTGCATTCTGTTTCATTCTATTATGCTCCATCTAGCTGTTTAATGTAAACACCATCAAAGAAATGTTCACATTCATGGTTGGGTGAACCTGAAGCATGTCAAATTACACAAGGCTTCTGACTACTTATGCAACATCCTTTCTGTGGTCACATCGTAAACCTATTTTATAGGGTCTCTTTCTTGTTTTTTCCTCCTTTTTAAGCTACGAAAGCTCTTATTATGGTGAACCTTTCCATGCCTACAAGATCCTTTTTTTCCCTCGGCTCCTTCAAAGCAGTGGATTTGTGCCCGATGTGCGGCATTGATGTCATGTTTTGGTCAGGGTGGACGACTTGGCTTTGTGAGGACTTGGCTTTGGCATTTCGTCACTATGTGACGTGACACTCACAATGATGTTTTGTTTCTGTGTGTCGGTCTGTTCCTGTTCACTGTCAGTTATTTATGATGAAAAATGGAGAACTGTGAAAACTACTAAAACTACTACTAAACATTCAGATTTGATTGCATGTAAATGTAAATGGGAGACTTGATGTCAGTGAGTTGGTCATGATGATTTCCATTGACCGCTCAAATGGCATTTGCAAAAAGCCACTGTAAGCTCATTTATACTGAATGTTTTTTTTCCACATATGTGTTTGTGTCTGATGAATATGTACAGACCTGTTATGAAAGTAAAGTAATAGTCAAATGGCATCTTTAAAACACTAATATCGTCTTTGTTCGTTTCTCTATTCTCGCTCACTAACCAGCTTCCTCTCTTTGTCCCAACAGAGGCGTTTACGTCACTTGCGGAGCATAGCAGCCCGTAACATTGTGAACAAGAATGGCTCTCCTCTTCTTGACACTTACTTCACCCTTCACCTCTGCCAGGAAGATCGGATATCACGAGGTGACTGATGCCAGCTAAACGGGCTGCTACTCTCGGATTGTTCACTTAATTTATTAATTAAAGTACAGTGTGTAATTTCTGTAGGGGTTGCACAGACTAATAGACTAGTCGACTTCAATGCTCTGCCATGACGCTTTAAGCTTGACGCCGACTAGTCACTGGTCCTATAGAGGGCGCAACAGGATAAGAAATCTTTGAAGGACTTCCAGATTTACACTCCGTTTCCAAACAGTTAAAATGACAAATAAATGCATACTCTGAAAGCGCTCCACAAGACATGTGTGATTATATTACTGGATGCTCGAAATTGAACGGGAGAATGCACGTTTTAAACTGCTTATTGTACAGGTAGGTAAGTTAATCGCCGTTCTAATCTAATGCGCTGCTGCACTGTAACGCACACACATTACAGACAGTAGCTGTACATCACGCGCAGATCGCACGCGCACAGAATCATTCAGCGCGTAATTGTATTGTCAACACTGTTCTGTGAAATAGCTTTTAAAAACTGAAAAGTTCAAGCATATATTTCCCACAGCTTCACTACTAGTAGAGAGACGCTGCCAGGTAGAATTAATTCACACACGCAATTGCTCTCACTAATGCATTCATATGAATGTAATCTTTACTGTGCTACTTTATCTGTATCTGATTTAGAATGAGCAGAAATCTGTGAGAAACATAACGACTCAAAGACAAAAGAACTGTTAAAAATGAGCTGTTATAGGAGCAATAGCCATGCGGGCAGCGCTGTGTCATATGCCATAGCTGTGCACAATGTGTTTGTCACAGCTCCAGAGTTATTTGTTCATTAATGACGTCATCAGCGACTAGTCGACTTCGACTCGACTTTCATCACATAAAAGTCGACTTTAAAAAAAATCAGAAGTCGTTCAACCCCTAAATTTCTGTCTCACCAGTGACACCAAGCAAAATCACAGAAAGTAACTGACTGTTTTCAAACAGTTTTTCCAAACAATCACCCTGTCTTCCATTGGCCTTTCAAGAGATGGACACACCCCCAGACTCGCGCTATTGGTTGAGCTGTTGTCGGGCTGGTCATACCACTCAAATAAACACTACAATGTTTTGATAGCCATAGTGTTTATACTTTACACATCTGGAGACATCAACCTATGATTTCTGTACTTGGTTATCTCGGTATATTAAAAATGGGATATTAAAAATATATTGCAAAGCAAATTTAAACTCTAATTAGAAATAAATGATAAATGCAATTCAAAATGATGGTTTTCTACTTCAGTAAATGTTAAAATGTGATTACTTATATGATGCAAAGCTGAATTTTCATCATCCATTACTCCAGTCTTTAGTGTCACATGAAGAAATCATGCTAATATGCTGATTTGGTGCTCAAGAAAAAATTCTTATTTTTATCGATGTTAAAAACAATTGTGCCGCTTAATATTTTTGTGGAAAATATAAAGTATAGAAATAGAAATCTTTTGTAACTTTGTGTCTTTTCTTTCACTTTTGATCAAATTAATGTATCCCTTTCTGAATAAACATATTCATTTCTTTACAAACGAAAACTTACTGACCCTTAACTTTTGTATGGTATTGTATAGTGTAAGTCACACTGAATTTAAAAGCTTTTGAATGACTTCTAACATTCTCTTTTCCTTTTCCAGATTTTTATAAGAGTGAAGTCATCCGAGACTCATTGGTAAGTGCTTTTGTTTTCATATGGAGTTTGGTCATATGATTTAATGCCCATTATTCTAAAATGTGAAACAAAAGACAGAGCAAAGCATATCATAGCTTAGCAGCGTGGTGTAGTGTAACATGATATAGTGTTGCATATCAGCATTGTCTCCTCTGGATTTATGTTCTGCTGTTGTTGGATAAGAAAAGTACTTTTTTTTTTTGGTGTAATCACAAATGTCCTTAATCTCTGTTAAAGCTTGCAGGACTGCTTTAAAATTTACCATGGTAACCAAAGTTTATTGCTGTGAAACCACAAAAAATATATTGGATCTTCAAACAGTTTAGGACACTTTCAGAGTCTTTGTCAATTTTATTTTGTCATTTTATCTTATTTGTTAATATTTGTGGCTGCTATTGGCAGAAATGATGGTTACCACAGTATATTTTAGCCTACAGTGTTTTTTTGATTTAAATATTGTCCCTTAAAGGTGAGGTGTGTTATTTTTGTTATGCTAAAATGTAAAAAACAGTGAAGACAGTGGCTTTGTGGTTGCTTACAGAGTCTGCCTGACAACAGCAGCAGTGCCTCAACCAATGGTGTGAGTTTGGGGCGGAACTATCTGTTTGACAAACCAATGGCAGATGGGGGAGTGTGTGGGGAAACCTTTTTGAAAACAGTCATAATTTCTGGTGCAGAAATTACACACTTCACCTTTAAATTTTGATGAAAGCATCAGCAGGTACCATATAATTATACTTTTTAGCCAAAATAACAGTTTTAATCATGTAAAAAAAAAAAAGACTGAACTAGAACTGACCTGGCAGTGGATGTAAAAAGGCAATCCTGTTTCAATGTTCTTCATCTTTACACATATGGCAGGACTACCCTCTCACCTACACATAAAAGGCATTGATACAGCTCCATTTACTGATATAAAACAGGTTTGCTAAATGGGCTTTTCGGGGTCACACCAGCAACCTTTCACTTTTGAAACAATCTCTTTATTTTAATACTCCAAGTGGGCCTTTGAGACTCACGAACGGATGTGGCTCCTGTCATTGGCGACTGGAAAGCAGTTTAATGGCCATGTGGTCACTCTGTCCAAGCCTGTAATTCTGCTGAAAAACATTGATGCATAGCAACTGCTAAAGTGTGAAGAGAATTACTACATGATGCATACAATCATCAGTAATGTGATTTATACAAACACGATTAAAGGGGTCATGAGCTGCCTTAATTATTTTGTACTGTTCTCTGAGGTCCACTTATAATCTTATCAAGATTTTTATATCAAAAATCATCATAATTTAGAAGTAATAGGCTTTTTCCTGTCCTTTTTTGACCCCCCTCAGCGATTGTCGACTCAGAAGTACACGCCCACTGCTATGATTGGCTAACACTTGTGTATGTTTGACAGCCTACATCCTTCATAGATGAATGCTGCTGTGCGTTAAAATGCATAAATACTCAAACGCTCTGTAATAACAGAGAAAGCAATAGTGACCTCTTAATAAAAACAGTTAAAAATGTTGTCATGCATTAAGCTGAAAGACTCTATATAATTGTTGTTATTACTTTTGTTCTTGTTATTATTTTTATTATATGTATGTTTTTGTATATTTGTACATAATTATATAACAATTTTGTTTTAAAATTATATATATAAATGTTTTGAAATGAAAAATACGATTGAATTATTTTGTACTGTTCTCTGAGGTCCACTTAAAATGTCAAGATTTTTACATCAAAAACATTTTGAAGTAATATTTTGAAGTAACCCCCCTCATCAGAACACTGTTTGAATAGGCGTGGCGGTTTGTAGACTCAGAAGTAAACGCCCACTGCTATGATTGGCTAACACTTGTGTATGTTTGACAGCCTACATCCTTCATAGATGAATGCTGCTGTGCGTTAAAATGCATAAATACTCAAACGCTCTGTAATAACAGAGAAAGCAATAGTGACCTCTTAATAAAAACAGTTAAAAATGTTGTCATGCATTAAGCTGAAAGACTCTATATAATTGTTGTTATTACTTTTGTTCTTGTTATTATTTTTATTATATGTATGTTTTTGTATATTTGTACATAATTATATAACAATTTTGTTTTAAAATTATATATATATATAAATGTTTTGAAATGAAAAATACGATTGAATTGTGAAATTCAATGTTTCCACTTGCCATGAATATAGCCACTGCTGCTGACATGGCGATAAATCATAAATTAAATTAAATAAAAACAGTTACTAACACTTGTGTGGTGCATCAGATCCCGTATAGTCGGCACAGCATCGTCTTGTAGTTAAAGTTTTCTGAAAATTCTGCGTCGAATTGTGCCTTGTTTGTAAACGAATCCACGGTGAAATGACGTGAAAAAAGGACCAAGTTCTTACTGACCTGTGTTTGCCTCTCACGTTATTTACCCACTACTTGCGCAAAACTGTGGGCGGGGCTAAACAGACAGTGATGTAGAAGCAGGCGTTGATCATCTTCTGCAGAGGCGGGGTTTAGCCACATTATTACGTCATAAAGCCTGTCGTTTTGGGTGTTTTTATAGTACAGTGACCTCTGATATGTCAATAGATCAGGGGAATTTAGATTTCTCAGTTCATGACCCCTTTAAAGACTCAGTTCTAGTCTGTTATCCGGACTGTAAGGAACATTTTAATGGTGATGGTGATGATTTGAAGTATTATAGGCTATGAATGCTGTATTTATTAGTGTGATGACATGATACACCCATGAAAACAAGTTTATAGCCAAAGGCCTGTTCTGTTTTTCTGGGTGTGCTTTTCTCGCTACACTCTTAAAAATAATGGTGCTTCAAAGGGTTCTTCAAGCGATGCCATAGAAGAACCATTTTTGGTTCCACAAAGAACCATTCAGTCAAAGGTTCTTTAAAGAACCATCTCTTTCTTACCTTTTTATAATCTGAAGAACCTTCTTTCGGCACAAAGAACCTTTTGTGAAACAGAAAGGTTCTTCAGATGTTAAAGGTTCTTTATGAAACCATTTAGACAAAAAGGTTCTTCTATGGCATCGTGAAGCACCTTCATTTTTAAGAGTGTATTTATCAAGTAGGCAGAGCTCTGTTGAATTCAGTTGTTTATTATTACATTTACAAATCAATGTCCATTTAATTAAGTGTGAAATTATAGCTGGTGGTCTGTAATTTTGTTAATTGCATCTCCCTGATTGTCCTCAAGGTTAGAGCAAAAAAAGGAAAAGTATATTGTCATTACAGAAGTACATAACTGCGGTAGCTTTGAAATAATCACACACACACAGTCTGTTTGTTACTGACACAATGTATATTTGATTTTTATGAATTGATTCATTTCAAAGCTCTCATTCACTGATTCATAAACATCATCACTCAAAATGACTTCATGTGACAATCACACTTGTGTTGGGACCAGTCAATCGAGCCAAGTGTGAAAGCACCCACAGATTCTAAACGGACTAATTTAAACTTTTGAACAGAGTTGTAACTGATACGGTTTTGTTTGACATAATCAGAAAACTTTGTATTCTACCTCTAACCTTCTTGCACCTCTCTTCCCCATTTTTGTTTCTTCATTTCCCTTTCTTAGTGGCTTCCTGTCCATCTGTACCTCTTTCCTCTTTTTTTTATATTAATCATGTAATCATCCCTTCATTCCATCCACTCTGGTGGTCATGTTGATGGCGGTTTTGTATTTATTTCTGCTGACCTAGTCACCGTGAGAGTAGTTTTGTCAGCTGCACATCCTCTTGGAGGAAGACCCTCTTTAGTCTCCAGACTGCCTGACGGCACAGTTTTGCAAATCTGTTTCTGCTGTCAGTCTTTGAAAGCTTGGCTTCTCTTTGCTGCTTCATTTCAAAGCTCTCATTCACTGATTCATAAACATCATCACTCAAAATGACTTCATGTGACAATCACACTTGTGTTGGGACCAGTCAATCGAGCCAAGTGTGAAAGCACCCACAGATTCTGAACGGACTAATTTAAACTTTTGAACAGAGTTGTAACTGATACGGTTTTGTTTGACATAATCAGAAAACTTTGTATTCTACCTCTAACCTTCTTGCACCTCTCTTCCCCATTTTTGTTTCTTCATTTCCCTTTCTTAGTGGCTTCCTGTCCATCTGTACCTCTTTCCTCTTTTTTTTTTTATATTAATCATGTAATCATCCCTTCATTCCATCCACTCTGGTGGTCATGTTGATGGCGGTTTTGTATTTATTTCTGCTGACCTAGTCACTGTGAGGGTAGTTTTGTCAGCTGCACATCCTCTTGGAGGAAGACCCTCTTTAGTCTCCAGACTGCCTGACGGCACAGTTTTGCAAATCTGTTTCTGCTGTCAGTCTTTGAAAGCTTGGCTTCTCTTTGCTGTATCATTGACTATGCTGAAAGGCCACGCTCATGCGTTATTATTAACAAAATTAATATGTTTCGAAGTCTAAATTGCTGTTGTCTTTGATCATATATTGGCTGAATTTTTGTTAACAGTTTAATGATGCCCAGTAAAAAAAAAAAAGGGAATATTTGTATCTGAAGTAGCAGGACAAAGTTATTCCCCGAGTACCCTGTGTTCATAATTTAGTTTGTTTGTGTGTTTTCAGAACCCAACATGGCGGAGCTTAGATTTCGCAATGCTTCCGGATCTCTTGGACATGTCTGTGTCGTGTTTTGTGGTGAGAATATGGGGTGGGAGGGAAGAACAGTACCAACTGCTTATTGAGTGGAAGGTCAACCTTGATGGGCTCAGATATACAGGACAACAGGTGAGGAGTCAAATATATACATTCACACTCATCTCATATATATATATATATTACTGCACTTATAAAATTTTATTTAAAAAAACTTTCTCTCATAAAAGACTCAAGTTTGAGTCTTTGATTTCAGTCATGCTGTGATCCCACTCCCTTTCTTACACCGATGTTTCCCATGACCAGTAAACACTTTTGAAATCAAGGTAAATTTTGGTTCAAAAACTGTCATTTTTTTCTGTGTATTTTCCTTCAGATTCGCTCCAGAAATCCAAATGAGATCATCTTTGGACTGAACGATGGCTACTATGCAGCTGAGTTTGATCAGAAGGTATTGTTCAAACTCTTGGAATGAGCTCCAAAATAAATTCCAGACCATCTTCAAACCTTGTCATCTATCAGAGTTCGAATTCTCTCATGTCTCTTGGGTTTTTCAAACTGTAGAATTCTATATACGGTAAGAAGAGACTCTTTGTGAAGCTCATGGACTGTTTTCTTTCCCACAGGAAAGTTCTGACAGGAAGAAGAACAGTTTGCTTCAGGTGGACCAGAGCTCTGTCAGAAACTCCTACAGTGTTTTCTCTTTACTGAGGTGAGACAGGCTCAATTTAAAGGGAACTTTGGATGGAAAACAGGACATTTTGGCTTTATTTTAGCAAAGCTTCTTCCAAAATTATGATTTTAGATGAACTTAAGGGGAACAATATAATAAAAATACTACAAAAGGGTAGTGTTTTGAAGACTAATCACGATATAGAACTAGAAATAAGATCTCTTTTTATGAATAATACTTCTGCTGTGTTTTGACTGTATTAGCACAGCACTGGCTATTGCGAAAAAAATAGGAATTTCATTCCTGCAGGAACAGCATTTGCTCTTAACATATGTTCAACTCCAACAAAACTCCCTCAGTTGCTTTCCATAATTTTATTATCCTCCCATATGAGACCCAGAAGCAGTTCTCATCATCAAAGTCAAGAAACGTTCCCTTCCTTTTCCGCCAGATAGCGCTCTTTTTTTTTTTTTTTTGCCTCCAAATTGGACCCCTGCTGCAGGGTGGCGTCTTATTCTTCAGCCAAACATGACAGTAATCCTTGGATAAAATACCTGATGGATGAAGAGCACAGGAAATCAAGGAAGAAACATTAGTCCACCTTGTCATGGTGTTGGCAGACCCTTCCAAACCCAGTAAGGTTGAATGTTGGCTTCATGTTCTGCTGTAGATTCACTGCAGCACTAGATGGCAGCAGCTCTCTTCTAATTCAAATATGTTTTGAGAAAGGAGGCACTTTGGAGAGTGTTAAGTAACTATGACACGCTTCCCATATTCAGATTTATCTGTGAACACACATCTGCAGTATTACAACATCAACATTATATATTTAAAGAAACAATCTTTGATCCCACAGATGTTGTTAAGAAGCACACAAGGTGTAAACGCTCCAAAAGTGCTCCAAATTGTCCCATTTTCCAGACCTTCATTCATACGCACCTCAACGACCATATGCATATTTTCTGGTGAGGAATGTAGGGCAGCCCCTCAGCGCTGTGCTGTAGTAGGGTGATGTAGAGCTTGCTGGAGGCCGCTGCTCTCTATGTGTGATGGTGATTGTGAGTCTCTTGGTAGTCTTGATTAGGAGTCTGTGCAATATCTTGGCCTCGGCCTGAGGTGGGCCCATGTTTTGGCCGAGATTCGGAAATCTCACGCATAGGTCACATATTTGTATGCACACGCCGACTGACAGAAACATGCATGGGATACATTACTCCAGCCGTCTTTGTAACTTTTATGGACTTGTTTCATTTTATATGAGGATATCGGTGTTAAAAATTAATAATGGCAAAAAAAAACCCAATTTGGTTTTCTTCTTCATGATTCCAGTTCCTTAACAATTCTTTTAGTATTTTTATGGATAGATAAACAAATAAATATTTGAATTTGACTACACTGACTGCGCCGTATGTTTTTGATTCACATCAAAGAATGGATTCATAAGTGGCATTCATTTGGGAGTCAGACTATACTGGCTGCGCTTTATGTTTTTGATTCACTTAACAGAACAGACTCAACAGTTATTCGTTTGGGAATCAGACTATGCTGGTTGTGCAATATGTCTTTGATTCACGAAAAACAACTGACTCATAAGAGTCATTCATTATGTAATTGGACTACACTTGTCTGTTTTGTAATCAGTGCAGATTGTTTTTAACATTTCAATTTCAAGTTGATTTGCATGTGTTTGTGTTTTGGCGGTATTCTGTGTGCTTGTAAGACAGACAGAAAGAAATGCATGTAGAAGAGACTGAGTGTAAAGTCTGTAAACTCCTCCTTGTCGTGTTCTGTGTTGAATGGGCGGATGGCGGCAGTTGTTATCAGCATAGAGAAAACATTTGTTTTTGATTGACAGTGCCGTGTTGTCAGCGATTAACTCAACTGGACAAACTTTAAGTAGTACAAATACAGAAAGGAACAAAAAAATCAAAGTAGTTAGTCTTCTAATAAAGTGAATCATTAATCAAAATAAAAATGTTTCCTCTTCATGTGCGATTTATGCTACTCTAGGGCGGGTAGCCCGTCCGTCATGCTATAACGGGCCGCTCTTGGGAGAAAAAAAGTGGTAATTCGGTGATCTAAATCAGTCTTACTTTTGTAAGAAGTGCACTGTTGTAAGAAATGTTTTCTTTTACGATTGTGTGCTAGTGGGCCAAAGCAGCTTTGTGTCTGTGGAAAAGGTGTTTGCTTTCTGCAGCCTCACAGGTTTCTTTGGTTCCTGGTTCCTTCCTGTACTTTCTTATACAGGAAATGTTCTCAGCTAGGCTTAAGCAAGCCAAAGGAAATTCCTGCTTGTGTATGAATTCAACTTTTTATCTCCCATCACCCCTCACAGCTGCTTCACACTGGGAATAATCAACACTTACTTTCGAAATCCTTTTTGAGTGCGAAGAACTGTCATAACTAGATTTGTATTCTTTGTAACATGACTAAATCGTGTGCACTACATCCAATTTTTTGGATGCACTCCATCAGATTCTGCCTTGAAGTGATTTTTCACTCAAAAATGAAATTGTATGCAGTTATTTTTTTTCTTCTGTGGAACATGTTGGATGAACTGTTCCTTTAAGATGTTTACTCAGAATTGCATTTTTTCCCGCTTGAAGATTTGCTGTTTGATTTCCCTCACTTTAATAAATAAAGTAGCAAGTGAAGAACAGAGGTGGTGTTGTATGGCAAAGTTCAGTGAGTAGAGTGTGACCCTGTGGTTGCCACGGCGATAAGCCCTTCCTGCTTTTAGCGGCTTTCAACAGGTCGACGGGTCTTGCACTCCACTGCCGTAGGGCATGGTTCTGGACCGGATTATTGGGTATGACTTTAACAGCTGGGTTCACGCTAGTCCCCCAAAACCCTAAAGCAACAACCTTGATGACCAGTAACTCCTGCCATGCCTCACGGAAAAACAAACTTGGCCTTAATCTCCACATCGCCCGGCTGAAAATGGATGCTGGTGTTTTGGTCTCTCAGGGCTTTGTGGGAGGCTGTGGTAATAATAGTGTAGAGAAGGCATGAGGCGGATATTGGAGCCCCGCTTCTAAAGAAGCTTTAATAAATGGATCAAGTGCATCAGCATCTCTAAATCACCTTCTACAAGGCGTTTACACATTGATGCTCTGTTCCAAAACCCAGTGAGCTGCCTCACTGCCTACACTGGTTTGGGGTCAGTACGATTTAAAAAAAAAATTTTTTTAAAAAAGAAATTAATACTTTTATTCCACAAGAATGCATTAAACAGATGAAAAGTGACTAAATACATTTGTAACAAAAGATTTCTATTTCAAATAAATGCTGTTCTTTTTAACTTTACCAAAGAATACTGAAAAACATGTATCTTGGTTTCCACAAAAATATTATGTAGCACAACCGTTTTCAACATTACATATAATGACAAATGTTTCTTGAACAGCAAATCAGCATATTAGAATGATTTCTGAGGGATCATGTGACACTGACTGGAGTAATGATGCTGAAAATTCAGCTTTGGCATCACAGGAATTAATTACATTTTAAAATATATTCAAAAAACTAAGTTATTTAGTCTAAATTAAGCTCTCACTCACTCACAAGTGATGATTTTAGTTATTAATAAACTTAATTCCTATAGTGTGTAATATAAATATTTTGTCTATAATATAATGCATTTGTATATAATATAATGCATTTTTGCAGTAATATCTTACTATAAATATTTTGTATTTTTATATAAATATATTTAAATAAATAAATTTTTAAACCGTAACCTTAGTAACAGGGTAGAATGGTTGAGCTTGATAAATACAGATGTTTATTTTGAATGCTAGCTACTTTTTACGTTAATGTGAATTTTTTGTTAAATAATAGGTCATTCAACATATTACACTTAATACCTAAATGTTTATGCTTAAAAGAACATGGATTTGTATTTTTATAGCTGTAAATAAAATGTAATGGACACCAATTTGTACCCTTTTGGTTGCCAACAAGCAAAGCACACACTTACAGACCTAAATTTACCAATGAGCTCTACATTTTTCTTTTTTGGTCTTTTGTTCTGAAAGGTCCATGTGACGGACTGAAAATCAGTCGCCGAATCATAACTGCTTTGTTGGAGCACTGCACATGGGGAAGGGGTTATTGGATCCAGCCAACGACAGTGTTTTTGTGACCTTTTTTTTGTGAAGGATATTTAAACACAGGTTAAAATATGCAGTGTGTTTTTGTAAGCATGACCCAGTATGTTCGAGTCCTGTGCACAGGCTGTTTTCCCTTAAAGGATGTGGGATTTGTACCTTTACAGCTGTAACAAAGAGCAAAGGGCATCAATTTGTATCCTTTTAGTTGTAAGTGCTAACAAGCAAAATGCAAGAATACACCTACAGACTTAAATTTACTCTGACAGAGCAAAGATATCCTTAATTTAAACTGTTATTGAGCAAACATGAGCACAGATGATGTCAGGGCAAGGTGTCAAAGGATTGGTCGTCACTCGGCAAAGACTAGGCAGGAATGCCAGAGCCCAAAATATTTCCATGCGGCACAATCTTATCTGTCCCTCCAGTACTGGAGACAATGGCGAGTTCTGAGGTGTGTGGAGATGGAGGCGTGTGTTGACATTCTCCTGGTCTGAGCAGCAGGTAGGGGTCCACTGTAGATAGTTGCATGTTTGTTTTCTTTTCTGTTCAGGCTCACATCCCTTCGAGTTGTTTGCGCTCAAGATTTTTCCGTGTCGTGCCACTTGTTCATTGTACAATAAAAGTGTTTTTGTTTCATTTTTTGTGAAGGATATTTGGATGCAGGTTAACAGATGTGGCGACCCAATATGTCTGATTCCTTTGCGAAGGCTGCATACGTTATCTTTGATTTATGTACTGTGAGTGTAATTATTAGCCTACGGTGAAAACTGTATCGATCAGTGACACGTCGGGTATATTCATACCAGTGCAGTGAGTGCAATGCTTTTTTTTGGGGGGGGGAGAAGGTTGAGTGTAACATTGAAGCATTAGTTTAGACTGGATCTAAGTGTTTTTTAAAGTAAATTCTGCGTGATATGCAAGCAGATC